TGCTGTGATCCAGTCTAAGAGAGCTAGTTCTGCTCTAGGACTCAATGCTATACCTACACCAACAAGGCCACGGGAAGCAGCATCAGGGCTTCCAGATACACGAAGCGTAAATCCAGTTGGTTCGTTACTTTGATATGGTGCGGTCAATGGATGACACTACTCGGATCCTGTGTGCGCGTTTCGGAGACGCAGCACACATCGATGGAGCGAGATTCTAAAGTCCTAGCTAAGGAAGTCTGTTGTCCTATTTGACACAGTGTTCGGACGTTGAAAACTTCTATGTGTAGTTTAGAACGTGGATTCAGGAGACCAGGAATAACATTCGGCGTACTCGAATCGTTTGCACTAGCGGGGTGAGGTGATAAAGAAACGTGAGAAGGGTTAGTCGTGGAAATAAGAGAGTTATTAGGAGATGTAGGAAAGATTTGAATGTGACCAACTTGGTCTCGTGTGCTTTTACGGGTATGAGGGCTGATGTCACTTCCCGGCTGCCCACACCGTGGAAGGGTATTTCTTGAGGAACCTGAAAAGAAAATCGGATTAGTGTTGGTCTTGAAGACCTGGGAGCGTGACCGCAGAGCCCAAGGGACAACTGCTTGAGGCCGGTCGCGCACGGCTCTTTTCTTCAAAGGGCCTTACCGCCGGAGACGGAAATCCGTGGGGTAAGTTGAGGTGTGACATTTTCAGGGTCAACGTTTTCTAACCCCTTCCTTCCTTGTGAGAAACAGCATCACTGCTGATTATGGTTGTCCGAGGGAAACGCCTTACTACTGTCACACTTCTGTACAGTCAGCAGTACGACTTCGCCCTCAGATCTTGAGTTGCTGCTTATAGTCTTACCGTTTTCCAATCGACCTGCCTGGCATTGTAGAACCTGCAGGAACATATGTTCACGATAGGCAAGCTCGACCACCACGTCAAGGTACAGCTGCGGTCGGGGGCGTTAACACAGGAAGAAGACAAAGTGTAGAAGAAACTTAATATTCAAGTAGGACAAATTAAAAACGAAAGCATAACTAGCAAACATAGAGGAAACCAGGTAAAAGTTTTGATAATCACCCAGAGAAGAGGAAAAAACTGGTTTAGGAAAAAGCATTTGTGGTAACAGTTACCAATAAAATTTTAGCATTATTTCCTAAACTTAAGTAACCACATGATCACTTTAGCATGATACGTTACTTGATGTTTTCAATAATTATCTCATGGAATCAAATGAAAAGGTTTGTATCTATTGGCATGGTTCTTACCCGTAGACTTCGACTTCTTCATAAACTCGTTCCATGTCCTGTGTTTTGGATATCTCAAACTTTCTTCAAAGTTATTCAAATTCCTGTACCAAGCACATTACATATCAAGCTACGTACTGTTTGGGCTTTGCTAAAAGATATTCTAACTACCACAACTGAATATGCAGGTTTATTTTCTTTGCTACTTACATTACTCAGTCTACGTTGTTAAGATAACACTACTTATGATCAAACACTCGTAACCTAACAGTGACATCATATAATAATAATAATAATAATAATGATAATAATAATAATAATGATAATAATAATAATAGTAATAATAATAATAATAATAATAGCAACAACAACCCAAAATGTTAAAATTCTAATTCTCTTAAAAAATGACCACATTTCTTATTGTTTAGCCTATTTAAGTTATTAAACTAAGCACATGAATAGTGTAGACATGGTGTGTATACAAGCTGAGAGAAAAACGCTTTGTAATAATAGTAAGACTAATAACAATGATAATAATAATAAAGTGTAACAATGCAGTTATCTATACATGACCTGGTCTAAATAATGCAGTGGATGTTAAGCTTTATCACACTATATAATTAAGGTTTTCTTCTTTTTACTTTTGGTTAAAAAAATTATATTTAAGGTCTTTTATTTGTAAGAGAAACTTTTGAAAAAGTATAGAAAACGGATAAACCAATAAGAATCGAAAAACCATCTAGTAAATTATTGCGATACATTCAAAAATGAATGGATTTTGTTACATAAGACAATCAGTAGAAAAAACTTTGTATAGTTGTTTAAGATGCCAGTGGAAAGTTGATTTTTACGAGAATAGAACAAAAATGATGCTGTAAACGTGGCAAACGCTCATTGTTTCCATATTATTCAATCAAATCAATACTGTGTTTGGTAACTTGATAGACTAGGGATGTTCTTAATATTACCACATTTCGTTTCTATCAAATTTAATCATTTTGCTTGTTAGTATTGTTACACTCCCCCCATCGTGTTAACTACATCCATAATTTGTTTGATAGGTCAACATTAGTCCACCAATCGATTGTGAAAATATCTCGCTGAAGCTATCATTCGACAAGCATTTGTTTAAATGGAAACGAAACGGCCATTAAATAATATATTATAGGGAAGGGATGGTCACAATAGAGAGAACGACTTTCTAATCATTTCATGATGTGCTATGGTAAACGAAATCCAGTAAATGAGCAGCTGAAATACATTTCAGTAGGATTCACAAAGTTAGAAAGACAGCGAAGAATTGATTAATTCCAACTAAAGGTTTTAAGTATATAAAACGTTCAAATATTTCTATTTGGATTGTGTAAAACACTGAAGTAAACTCTGTTCCTATACACTTAATCTTAGACTTGATGGTTAATACGAAAATCTATTTGTGTCCGTATAATGGTTTGAGAAAACGAATAATCTATATGTATATAAATGGATACTCATGTCGTTATTATTTTCGATGTATAGACAAGACAGCCTCTAGAAAATTTTGATGCATTCACTAATTAGTTAATATCTCTTTACACTTTGTAATATTATTTATCTTTTTCCATAAACTATTCATTTACAAAAGCTATTTTCTAATTGACTAACAACGTCAATGTTGTTTTAAGTTTGTCCGTCTTCTAAGCTTTTACAGAACTTCTAATCTGCTTTGCATACACATAAAAGAGATATATTGAAAAAAGAACGGCACTTTTTGTTGATAATTAATGGACTGCAGCGATGCTGATATGCAGCTAAAGAACTACATGTAATCCTCACATGCAAGACAGAGAATAATAACTGAAAACTGAGTTACCAACTTGAGTCAATATTACTTATTTGTGACTGGAACACTTAAAGACTAACATATAATCAGATGTGTATGGAAAATTCTGACCTTGATGCTGGTCGACACTTGTTTTGAGTTCCAGATGTTCTTCAGTTGTAAATATGCTGCTCTTGCTTTGACGATCTGCGCTTTCACATCTGAATCAGACCCACCATGTTCATCAATGATGCTGCACAGATATGTAGAAGTTTTCACATCTTCCGAATCCTCTCCATCAAGTGTGATTGGATTGGTCCATGTTGTGTTGTATCGGAGAATCTTGCTTTACCCTTTGTGTATGTTGAGACCTACTGCTGCTAGACTGGTCGTCTTTTCCTGTATTTGTTGTTGCGTGTGTGATAGAAGATCCAGCTGCGTCTTAGCGGTTCATTGTGTCACACGCTTTTCAGATGTTAACGTCTTCATGATGCAGTCGATCACCGGGAGAAAGAGATAGAGTGAGAGTAAGCAAACTTGCCTGATACCAGTCTTTACCGCGAACGAGTCTGTCAATTGTCCTCCATGCACGATTTTGCAGTTTAATCCATCATAAGAATTCCGTGTGCTATTGACTATCTTCTCCTTTCTTTGGCATTTTGATCGGAATTCCTTCTTTCCAGTCTGTTGGTACCTGTTCTTCATCGCAAATCTTGCTGAAGTGAATGTGGAGTATCCTTGCAGTTACTTCTTGTGAAGTTTTAAAAAAAGGATGGTTAAAGTCATGCTATTTCCTTGTTCGACGAGTAGAACCCGAGTGCTTCCCTCAACAATAGGTTCAAATCTAGCGATAATATAAATTAATGAAGTGAGATAAGAGTGTTACATAAAAGGATACAGTATATTGGACAGGAGAGTGATCATTTACGAGAGAACATTTTGTTGTTTCGCAGAGAAAAGGCATTTTATTACACAAAGGATTAGTATATATGGTTTGCTAACCAAATAATACTTCGATACAGATAATATATAACTTTCTATATTTATATGGGTTTGCCGTGTTAAAGTGAGAATTAAAATTGTAAAGCCAAAAAAAGTTTGTGGTATCTAAGCTGACAGTTGTTACTGGATAATTTATTTTGTAAATTCAATCGTTTTAGGTATGTATCAGTTAGATATAATCAACGTAGTGATTAGAATAAATGTGTGTTAGTCCATTTTGTCATAACATATTAGTACAGCGCATTCATGTTCATCCATCTTCAGAGCCTAATTCACGTGGAAATGAGTTTCCCAGTAAATATTATATGAGCACGCTATGATGATTTTTATTGTGATCGGATGTCTTGAGCAAGTTATCTTTACTTGTTACTGGGTTCAGGTGGACTAAATTTGTTGACTGGGCTCTTCTGTATGAGTGCATAAATTGGGTCAATGTCAATATGCCTGGTGGTTGGTAACTTATCTTAACGACATGGCATTTTCCGGTATTCTAACAGTACTTCCAATACGAAATTTCGACGTATCTTCAGTCGGATTCATGTCCACGGTTGACTACATGCATAAATGTAAGAGACATTACATCGTGTCATCTTATTGCTAACATATGTTTATGCATGCATAAATAAAACATACGTCCAAAGTGTTAAATCTAGTATTTCTCGCAATAGGTATAATTTATTTTGCAGATTATTTTGAATTCGCTTTTTTTCCCTATTCTGTAATTCAGAATACATATAGTGGAATTATTTGAATGTGTTAGCTTGTAAGCGACGATGGCTATAAAAAAGAATTTCAGATTTCTCGTAATAGTTTAAGAAATCTGTCACTCTTGGTCACCAGTGTTGGTACTTTGACAGTATATTGGCTTGGTAGACGCCACCTAAAGGAATTTTTAGAGTACCTATGCTTACGGAAGACGGATAGAAAATATTTTCTACAAGTGTCCGTGTAACAAAACTGTGGTAGCGGGTTTTAACTCTTCTAAAATGAATGTAAACTCAGCAATTAATCCATCCAACCTAAAGAACACAACGTAAACAAAATGAATTCATTAGCCAACAATTTTGAAAAGGAAAATTCATCGGAAATAAACGAGAACGTAATCTTATAATTGCTAACAAAAATTATCTCAGTACTGTATAAACAAGATAAATGACTGAATAATAAAAATGAATATGTTATTTGAAACAAATAAATCAATGAATCATCTTAAAATGAAAAAAAAAACACAGTTAAAACAGAAAATAATTGAATACATCAAATCAATTTGCTTAAGGTGAAACGTACAAATCAATCAATATCCAAAACCAGTAAGAAGTACATTTTGAATGTTTTGAGAGTTGTGATACTTTGTATATTTAAATGGTGAATGTAAACATTAAACTCTTTGTAACCGCCATATGTTTAACAAGAGTAACATATGTGTTACTGAGTAAAGGATTTATACATTATCGTTGTTGATACACAACGGCTGAGAAAATTAACACTAGAGTTCAAGGTCGTTTCAATGACTAGGTAATGAATGAAACTCGGGTATGAAATGTCACGTACTAGCCACTCAAAAAAGATTCAATCAATCTGCAAATACGTGAAAATATTAATAGTTAAGACACCTGATTAAAACATACGTATAACATAATTTAAGTCAGTCACTCAGCAGCTTCCCATAGGCAAAACACAGCAAATGTGGATCACAAGTAGCGTATCCACTTTTAACTGCATGCATCGTGACTAAGTCGCCCAGTTCAAAGAACGTAAAATCAACAAAGTTAGGTAAACAAATTTCTACATGTAGTCAGAAAATATTCTATTTTGATTTTAGTACAAACACATCAATTCACTGCTGAATAACACGAGTTCTAATTTTTAGAATAAATAATAGTGAACAAGCCCATCATACATATGCGAGCAATAGAATAATATTGAAATAGTGAACAGTAAAATCTGATTAAATAAAATAGATGGAGATTTTAAAAAAATACAGTGCTAGAATTTCTCCTATTGCGACCCAGCTATTCCTATTGCTTACTAATTTTGGACACCAATTTACTCGATAAGTCCCCACATCAGAACACGGTAGAACAGGAACGAAATTGTTTCAATTAACAAGGGTAGATGGAATTAGGAAGCACAATAAGAAAAACGTTAGTATATTTTAAGTTTTTGCATGAGAAGAGTTTTCTCCAAATATCCACTAGCGCTGATTGGATAAGAAATAGCCAATCAGTATGCGAAAACACAATCCTGCATGGAAGGTGCTCTAATCCAGTCTATATTCCGCTAACAAAATTGAGATAAAAATAAACAGTGGTAAAATACTACGGGTAATGAGACTGAGATTAATCACATCGAAGTGTCGATGAGACGGTAGTGCAGAGTTCGAATCTGACCTATTGTTTGGAAGTGGGATGTATTGATCAATAACGCCATATTGTACTATCATATATGTAAGCAGTACTCTGACAATGAAGCAATGGTCTACTGGTCAAGGAACTTCACTTTTGATTAGCACTTTTCAGTTTCGAATCTGGTACTGTTTATTAGGTGGTGTCCAGAACAAGAATGGATTATTAGCCTTTATTATATAATTAAAATCAATTCACTAAGTAGAGTACATGCACATAAACATCACATAAAATTACATAATCGAGATAAATTACCATAAACCTTACCAAGTTTGTATGAACAAATACTTTCTAAATGCATTGAACAATTAGACATTTGTATTAAATTACCATCATGAATTGGCATGGTGAAACAATCAAAATATGATTGATTACTGTCCTTATTTAGTGAAATTGCTTTGCTATCCTTATGTTGAAAAAGCCCAGAAAAATCTATTAAATTAGTTTCAGTTGTTTGTAAAGAATTATCTTCGGAGAGTAGATGACTCTACGGAAGAGAAAAAACGTAACACAACAATACAGAAAGAGATGGCAATGATCATGGATTTTCAATGGTTTTCATAAATTATCATATATATATTACTTACCGAACCCCAGGTATGGTTGATTTTCAAACCAACCCAAATACTTCTACTAGTAGGACTAATAGTTCTAGATAGAAGACGCATAAACGCCGCTTCAACCGGACTCTGTGGAGTTGCTATAACTGGACAAAAGATGGTACCCAATAATTGAGGACTTGTGAAACAATTCATATTAGTAGCGCGTGTCAACAAAGAACAATGACCGCTTATTTCATCACGGAAGTTAAGAATACTACGTTGTGAATCTCGTGGTGGCATCACAGAATAACAAGTATTATTAAACACATAGAAATCAGATGAACAATCCCCATGTTTCAACATTCCCAAAAGTTGTGTCATGTTGGATTTATCCGATGTTCTAGCTACGTATATTTAAATGAAGAAAGTGAAAGGAAGAAAAGCAAATATATACACACGATTGAACAAGCGAATATAGAAATAAACTGTTTAAAAACACAACAGAGACAGAGTCACAACCAGATCCCTAAAACGAAAAAGGAATTCAGATATAAGTCGGATAGAATGTCACAAAACATCATTCATATATTGGGGGTTATTCTATATTAATATATATATATATATATATATATATATATATATATATATTAGTGAGGATTGGGATACTATCCGGTTTCAATGAGTTGAAGAAGATGCGGCATAATCGGAAAATACGACTCAGTGTTCCTGCATATTAATGCAGGCGAACACCATATCCAAAAGAATTTTTAAATCATCAAGCAGATCGAAAAACTGCTAGATAAAAATTCGAATAGTATGTGTCGTAAACTAATTTGTATTTATTGACATATATGGATCAATTGCTGAAAATAAGTTGTGAATATCATATAAAAATGGTATTCAATCGAAAGCGAAAAGGCATATTGTCTTAACTTCATTATTGTAAAATTTTATATTACTTATGAAGAGTGTTGACCAGATTTCTAGCTTCGGTGCTCAAAATAGGTGTGCGAGATAACAAGGTTAAGAAAATGAGGAGAAAGAATTAATTATTTCGAGAAAGCACAGTATTTTTTGAAAGTAGACTCTTCATTGAATATTTAAAGAACTGTATTTTAGATTAGTGGTAAAAATAAAGAGACAAACAGCAAATTGACTAAATTTCAGAGCTTTGAAAGTTTTTATCCTATCCCCCGTTAGACGTTCGCAAGAATTAATAAGTGCTTCGTCGATAGTTGTCTTTGGGTGGTTTCCATTTATCACTCTCATTTTGCTTGCGATCTTGGAAGTACAGACCTTCAAAATGAATGACATTCACCTGTGTGCTTGGTGTAATTGAACACTCAACATTAATCAACACTACATGTAGGCGATTAGCAAATAAACTGTATCTAACACCTTGAAGCTACGACATTTTGTCACACTAGCAGGTATCTATTATGTTTATCAGTATGGGATTGTGAAGATTGTTGAATTTTATTGACATCACAAATTGATCTTGGCCAGACAACCTTTAGAACCTGGAAGCACTAGACGACTGTTTTGCCCCGATATGGGTCCCCTCGGCAATGAGCATCTACGACTCCGCAGATGGAGATAGAACCCCAGGGCCTTCGGCATATCCGGACCATTAAGTCAAGATCCAATGTCGTTCAACCACGTAGAGAGTGAGGTAGCTACCCACTGAAGATAGTGAAAGATAGTCACACAATGTCGTGGATTGATTGAAGTTAGACAGTAACATTGTTGGATGCCGGCTCAGTGGTTTAGAGGTTAAGTGTTCGCTCGTCACACCGAGAAACATAGGGTGGATTCGCACATACTGAGTTGTGCATGAGCACTGTTGAGGAGTCAACACATACTAGGACGAAACAGCCATCCAGTATTTCCAGATTTTTAACGGTTGTCTAGCATTGATCGGATGATAGGAGGTAATAAGCATAATGTAAATTTCACAAAAAAACTTACTTGGTCTAACCTCACAAATATAACCGAATTTCTTGTTGCACAATTCATTACTCCATGTACCAATGAAATCTAGTTCGTGATGCATTACAGCACAACTCTAAGTACATTATGAAAATGTATTTTAAAAACCAAAGAATATGAGAAAGAGACAATAATGAGAAATAATTAAATGAATCACTTCACAACACTAACAAATAAGTTCGTGATGATTATAGGTACCGCTGAAACTACCTTTGAGTCAAAATTATACTGGCGAGCAAACTGATGTAGAGTATGTAAAAATTTAAATTCCAAACTCTATGGGTGAAAGTGCCGTATGTTGGCTGAAAAATAAAGATTCCATGAATGGATACATATTTTCTACATATAATACATCAGTTATGTCAATCTCCTGTTCACCATTATGCAACGAATTCACAGATTCTACTATTGAGTAAACTGGAACGTCTCTACTGAAATTATTCAATTCATTCTTGACTTGAAAGTGTTTTGTGGAGATTGCCTTATCAGTCAATCATGCATAACGTACAATTTAATAGATATATTCACTGGTCCAAATCACTATACCAAATTAGTACAGCCGTATAGTTTTAATTCAAGATTATTGTCAGACTAGTAGAAGTAGTGACAGTATCAGTATGTCCGTGCGGGATTGCGTTGGGGCACGCTGATTGGCTATTTCTTAGTTAGAGAAGACTACCACTTTTCTTATTATGATACCTACTTCCAGTATTAATTATCATTTCATTTTATGTGTGTGGGCTGTGATACTGCACGGGTGCCCAGATCGAAGCAGGTGGTTTTCTTGGGGGCCACATCGGGAGCCTGTGACCTAGAGGTCTAATCCACGAGGCAGTGGAGCAACCTAAGGAGATGCAGTTCCATGGTAGTGAGCGACCAACAATTGGTTTAGACGCCCTTTGTTCCCTCAGAATCTTGGAACCCATATGCACCATTAGTTTGGAATTAGGGTTTTCCGACTCCCCTAGATGAATCCTCCATATCCACCAACCCAGTTAAAACGCCAGACATTCGCGTTTCGTTCTCCCAATTTTGTAGACAAGACCCCTGCCTCGAGAAAGAAGTGAGTAGGAATTCTGTGAGAGTGGCTGTATATGTGCAGCTATCTGAGAGCATTTCCAGAGGGATGGCTGACTCTCTCCACTCTTGACCGTATTAAGGGCTTTGGGCTGCAAAGCTGAACATTCTCATACTTAGACAAAACGGCCATATAGTCCTCTCAGATTTTCAGTGGAAGTCTAAGACTAGTTTGTGATTTAAATAAACTATAAAAATAATAACTTTAGCCAATCTCAAAATAAATAATTGGCAGTCTTACAGATCCATTAGCATTTGGATCTGTGGGGCGCCAGTTTGTATAGACAACATCATTTTCATTAATCCATGTATGAATATTTCGTTCAGAACGTAAACCGATCCATGCAGACAATTTTTGATTATCCATAAGAACAGTTAAACCATCTAAGAATAAGACAATAAAACAATGATGACAACAGAGTATCAATTAGTTTCTATTCTATATAGAGTTAAGCAGCGGTATTAACAATCATTTTTAGGTTAATTGTTACACTGACCCAGCCACAGCGCAGCAGCGGTTGTTATATAAGTAAGTTGGTAAAAAGTAATGGCTGACCGAGCCAATACGTGGCATTGATTTGTGAAACTGAATTATGTGAAAAATATACGCAATTTTTGGTCGGAGTTTTGCTCAATGAATCTAACCAATGGTCGGATATCTTAGGCGAAAAAGGTTCTTATGTTCGGTTATTTTATTTGTTAATCTTGAACTATGTTCTACTTAATTGAGATTTACTATCATAGACATTACTTTTATAACAACTAATTTAGCTAACATCAATTAAATGTACTCTCGCTGTATTAGTACTACAACTACAACTGATCTCAAGTGTGACAACTTGGATTGATGTATATTGGGCTACGACCAACGTTGTTAATGATGAAATAAACCTATGGCGGAAATGAGTGATAAAAGACCCCACTGATCTATGATGCTAAAGGTAAGAGTAATTTAATAAGAAAAACAATATCATGTAATAATGAGATATATCTGTTTAATTAAAAAGATTAAGTAAATTAAAATGACGATTACCTCGCTCGTTGAAGAAGGAATACAATGAGAATTTAAAGTACGGAATGATGCTGAAACCCAAGACATATGTAAATAAAGAATGGATGCATCTAAGTCAGGACAACTAATTTTCAGTCATCTCACCTAAGATCGCAAACCACTGGTCAGGATTATCTCACAGATCGCAATCAAATAGTTTATGCACACATTACAACACGGCTCAAGGTAACAACAAATAGCTTCATAAGAAGCTGACGTTATTAGGTTGAAAATGACCACTTTTCTTTCTGTAAATACAGCTTGCTATTTAGTAGGAAAACAGCTACGAACTGTCATCATCATGTTACTTTTACTAGGTTGACTAATAAATATGGTGTTAAGTGGGGTTTGATGGGTAAACGAAGTTGCTTGGCAAAAGCACAGTTGAAAAATATCATCTGAGTATTACAGTTTCAATTTAAACAGCAACATCAAATAATCAAAATTAGCAAGAAAACACTTTCAATACTTAGTGTATTTTATAAACACACATATTCGAAATTCAACGAAATTTCATATGAATTAGTAGTTGTCAAGTAATACATGCATACACATTGTGAGATTATTTACCATCAAAACAGAAGGTTAATGAATGAAATACAATAGATGTATGTGATCATTAGTTTACCTTGCTGTTCATTCGATGATATAGTGGCCAAGTGAGCGTCAGCATCCAAAATTCGACATAAGTTAGAAGCAGTTAACCAGTCCACTGCATCATTTTTATTCGCTTTTACCTATTACAAGTCAGTAAATTTAGTTTAAACATCAGACTTAACAGACAATAATTACTAGGAAGCTTAAGATTAACACCATTAAAACAATGTATAGTGATAAAAACACGTATTTATAAATTCAAATAACAATTAAACAAGCCAAAAAAACAAAAATGAGTGATTTAATGCTCAGAAAACATGAAATGAAGCAGTGGCCGAGTTTCAACCACTACGTCCCAGGTTCAACCCCCACTCCACGTATATTGGTTTGAGCAGATGAAGAATATCGTTTGCATTTACACTTAGAGTATAGATCACAACCAAGTACCTACCTGGTGAATGAGTAAACTATTATAAGACATGAAGACGATTACTTTTTGACAGATCAATTTCGACAGCAAGAAAACATTTTGATTGAGATCTCGACAAAATAATCTCCAGACGTCGGATACAGTGGATCATCTTACCCAATATCTTCTTAGTTCACTTGTTAACTTTCCTTTATGTTTTGCTGATGTCTTGAAGTGCGTGTGAATTCCAACCGATACACATTTGTACCGTTCCCTATGTTGTTTATGAATGACTAAATGGATGAGTTGTAGCTAGCAAAAATATCAAAACAAAACCTGCGGTATTTCCTGTTATTAAGATGATTAAACACTCGACTTAACAGTAAATACAATTTGAAATGTTACACAAATTTAAAGACAAAACTAATTTGAAAAACACCTGTTAAAATTAGTCAGTCGTGATGACAAGAACTAGTGAATAACTGATAAAAATAGACAAAATTTAAAGTATACGAAGAAAATACGACGAGTATTTATACGGCGAAAGCCTAAGCAGCACTAACTAGATGTAAATTATTGCAGTCTGTGAGTTGTTAAGGTGTGTACTTAGCTCTTGACAGGCAGCAGGTTGTACAATTTGATGAGAATCGTACGAGCTTTTTCTGTGCAGAGATTTTTTCACTAACCAATCCACAAAGACTAATGAGACTTCCAAGATAGGTGGGCCCATTTCTTAACAAAATAGTATTCAAGCCTTTGTTGTTATTTGATTTCCAGATAAACTGCAGTACTTCAGATGTTTTTATTCTGTACAATAATCAGAAAGTTATAAGGTAAGCAAAATGCCAAATGACTGATGAGATCACGTCAATACAGGTATATGTACATTAGAAACATAAATTTACCATGAAACAGCTTCCAGATACCAACATAAAACCTTTAGGACATTTAAAAAACAGCATATTGTCATAGGCTTTTTGGATAGACGATAAGTTAACTCTGGATGATATGTCTGTTGAACATATAAACGGTAATGGTTCAAAGCATGAAATAGTCCCCCATGTATGTAAACCATCAATTTCTGTACAAAGAAACGAAGAGGTGAACAGTGATAAACACAGAAAATTATTTGACATTGTTGAATAAAAACAAAATATTGATTAAATTACACAACGCTACTAGACGAGCATTTAAAGCAATTATATTATATTAAACTTAAGGATTTGTTTTTGCTATAGACTTACTCGAGAAAGAGGGAATTGGGTTGGAAATTGTTTTTAAGTTGTTTTGGTGAAACTTCTTAATTGGGGTGGATATATATATATATATATATATATATATATATATATATATATATTCAAAATGGTTGGACTCTACTAGCCACAACCTGTATCGAAGTTAGTGATTCTAGAAAGAGTTTTCGAAACACCAGAAATAGGTAAATTTGAATCTCTAAGCAAAATGATTAAAGTCGAATAGTTCAACAACTAACTTAGCTTTGAGGATCAAATTAATTTGAATGAACTAGAGTGCTTTTATTCACATTTCTGTTAAACAAGAGGAAGATTGGAAATGTACAGCTTTTTAGCGTATTAATCAGATCTACAATACGTTTTACTTAGTATGAACGTTCAAGTTATCAACAGTTTGTGTAACTTAATAAGTAATGCAAATCAAAGTAGCCATCAAATGAAAATCTAAACATTTCTTCCCTTTAATAATTTAACTGAAGCACACTCATAAATACACTCCTGTTATTGTTACTAAAGTTGCAAATATCCATAAGTATACGTCAAGAGAACACTAATTAATCCAGAAAATATGTGTGTATGTGAGCGATACTAACCCGAAGTAGGTAAGTCAGAACATCAAACTGCATTTTAATGTGGAGTAGATATTAAAAAGGTATCAAGTCAATAATTCACAAGCCAATATTTACTTATTTTCAGGGAAAGAGAACATATTCTAAATCGAAACAGAAATAAAATAGAAGACAAACACTTACTAGTATCGATATAAACACATTCTTTTTTAGTATTCTGAAATTTCAATTGCCAAAACGTCAATGGTACTGCACCATAAGAAGATGTCCACAATAGATTATCATGTGAATTGAAAAGTCCAATGTAAGCCTGAGACAAATTACTATGACTGGTTTCCTATATTTATTTACATAATTAGCAAAATAAGAAATGACTTTATCTTTAAAAAAAAAACAACTAAAACATATTTCGGAAAATGGCATTGAATTTTTGAGTCATAAAGCATGAATAATTAAGTGTTTTCGGCTTAAAATCCTATGCTAATATGACATATCCGTATTATCTCAACACCATTTATTAAAATAGGCTTCAGCTGAGATTTTGAACGGTTTGAAAATAATACCTATTATCAGCTGCAAACGATGATCTAGCTCACCAAGTAACAGATGTCTTTTCGGTTTTGAACTATACTTTGTGTGTGAGAGTAAGTGGAACTATCTGGCTACATGTGAGTTTTAATAAGTTCTAAAGACGACCAGAATTTCAGGTAGAAGTTTGTGCTAATGATGTCGTTCAGAAGAATGATGAAAGCTTCACGACCTATTCATCCGGTTCAGAGAACGAAACTCCATCACAACCAGAATTTTAGGGAGAACTAAAGTATATGAACAACATATTTAACCAAAATTTTAGAATGAGAAAACATATACGATCACGTATAATCTGTTTGTAGGTTGTCTTTTATTTTCAGTTTTTAGCTTGAAGTAGTGGAGGAATGATTTAATGGTTAAGGCATTTGACTTTTGTGAACTAGGTCCCAGATTTTAACTTCGCTCTATACAATTGGGTTTGAATAACCAAGTAGTATCATTATCTCTCTCACTTTTTGAATTGACTCATTCACTAGATGCTTTTGATATAAAGCACACGCTTTAAGTGTGAAAGCTAATGATACTATCTAATTGCACAAACAGAAATAGATGGATCTGGGTTCAAACGTAGGACTTAGTGGCTGAAATTTAAACGCTTTAAGACACCACTCCATTTAAAGTGTGGTTCATATCTAGGTACCCAGCGAATGAATTTACAAAAAAGAATCTGCAGTGGCAAATAGATTGAAATTAGCTAATTTATCAATTTTTCATGAAACCTCCCAGAATAAGCATCGACTATATACATAATAAACTTGTTTATCAGTTTTTGATACGTCGAACAACACGATAAAGAAGTTTTTCAATAACAATTCCTATTGATGAATGATATTGGATATCGAAAGATTGGAAACCTGAGAATCGAAAATGTTAGAAACTGAATTTCAAATCGATGACCAAATGATGTCAACAGATCAGACAATTCGATTCAACATACGACCAAGACTGTTTACGATTGAGTTCTATAAAATGTGACGAAACAGCTATTCAAGTTTTGAATCATGCTCCACCTGAAACCTGCTGTTCGTGATGAGAACGATTTATCATGATCAAATCTCCAAGAATCACAATGGAAGCTTAAAGGTAGCGTCGCACACTGTAAAACTGAGTGAGGTGAAGGGTTAGGATCCTACAGAAAGTATCCGCTCCTTCATGACTGAAGGTACACTTTGCCGATAAGTGTTAAGTAACACGATACCTACATTTCCGGTCTCTTACTGACGTAACATTAAAACAATACGAAATCAAGGCAACTAGAATACACCTACATGTTTCAGAGTATTCATAATAAACATTTGATGCTCTTCACTAGGTACAGTAGCTAGTGTCATGTTATAATTACGACATACATAATCAGCTTCGTAAAAAGTAGCCATTTGTGAAATATAACGTATACAATAGGGTTTACTTGATATGTTTGTGCATATTTCGTTATTAACGACTTCTAAACAATAATAAAAAGTAACAAACAATGACAATAACGAAAATAATTACAAGTAAATTAATATTTGATTTACAAAAACCTAAATCATTTCTAATTTACTTTGAGATGAACAACACTTGACTAGCATAAGCTTCCGATTGTTATTATTGTGTAGGGAGTGGTGGAGATTGTTGAATATCATAGTTTATATTACGAAGTATGATTTTAGCTAGAAAACATTTAGAAACTAGGAAGCAGTGGACAGCTGTTTCGTTACGATAAGGGACCCCTTAACAGTTGACATCCACGATCCTGCCATAGGGGATCGAACTTAAGGTTTGCAGATTTTGTGAGGAGTGCTTAACCTTTAGACTATTATTTTGGTGTTCAGTGGGTTATATTTTTAGTTTCAATAAATCCGTGATAACGTTCAACCACTTGTCGATGTAATTGGTAGTGGTGTCTCAAACCCTACATGTTTGAACTTCAGTTGTCAATGCTTTACACTAGAACAATAAGAATGAATCCCCCCAATCGATATTAATTTGTGGTAGTGAAAATTTTAAAATATATTTAAAAGTTTCCTATCCATCCTACGTATACTGCGCAAAACGTTTGTATGTATTACTCTACACGGCTTCAGTAAGTAAACGTTGTACTAATTCGATTATGCCTGTTACACAACAACGCCTGACTATGATTAGACTATAATACGAGTGTACTATTGACGTTAAAGACAAAATTCTACGCAAAGAGGATTTGTTAATTATGAACCTTTGTCAGTCAGTGTGAGTAATTACGTCAAATCACTGCAGAAATCTTTAACCAATTAGTGCTTTGTGTTTGTTTCCCCTTTCAAGACGCGTATTTCTTCTAGATTTTATATGATCGTACTCAGTTGTTTATTTTTGATAGGTTGTTTACGCATTCTAACGAGGTGTGATAATTAAAGCATATGAATGTTTGCAAGACATTTTACGTTGATATCTATTTGTTTATTGATATAAAAATTATAGAAGTGAAATATCAACTACATATATACATATATTTCTTTCGAATGCGACTGTTATATTCATGTAATGCAAACAATTACGAATTTCAGAATTTCTTAGTTAAATAACCACAGCTTTCCCAAGAGCTACGTGCTGATTTTCAGTTTATTAACAAAAGTATTCCACCCTGAAATAACATAAGGACTATAAAACCTTCCTGTATGTAAACGAAGACAATAAAATACATAGTATTGAAACATTAAAAAGCAGTACAACATTTACCTGGAAGCTGATCATGTGACGGTGCCGACACATTCGACAATAATAACTGACAAAAGTATATATGACGACTGTTACAGTTAACATCGTTCCAATCATGTGTACGGCTATGTGATATAAAACAACCTTCAATATCACCATTCGAAAAATGTCTACTAGGTTCACCAAGAGCAAATAATAAGTAGTCCACAGGACTTTCGTCAGACCAATACAAACTTGATTTGTTCAAAGCCAATGATCTGTCTTCAGTGGATTCATCTATAAAAACAAAACACATGAATTTGACGAAGAATGAAAAGAACAAGTCAATACTCTTTTTCTGTTAAGTAGAATGAAGCTTAAAATAATTAATAAGATTGAAAGCGAAATATTAAGAAAATAGATTAGAACATTGCTTCACACTCCAATGGTATCGACACGGACAGTGTACAAGGCTTTCACACATGAGATTTTTTGATTACTAGGTTGTGTTTGGAAGTAGTCGACAGAGTTTCGACCACATTTAACCACCATTTCACATTTCAACAGTGCATATTATGTCTGCTTGCAGAAGCCACCTTGCACTTTGATAGATAGAAGTCATTCAGTACTAAAAAAACAATAGTCACTACGCTAAATACTGAAAAATCAATTGAATTAACTTAATAGTCTTAAGTGAATCGATATTTATCATTTTATTAAAAAAGACACATAGTCTGACAGTAATTTTGCAAAAGAGAAACAAGTCTTTTTTCTGCATCTCATGTTGAGTTCAGAGAGAAGTCAGAAGTTAGTTTCTATCATAATCATGACACGAAACTCATACAGTAATATCGAGTAAAATCTTGATCACACACCAACATAATTCAGAAATCACAACATGGGCATAACTACACCATGAGTGGGAGAGAACTAAGTACAAGATCCGTAATAAACAGTAACTTATGAAAGATACAATATACAACAAAAATTTATGCATCACGGAAAAGCTTACAAGCAAGAGTGTATAAAAATACAATAATTTAGATATTTTTGTTGAGGACGTTAGATCCCCAGAACTCACTTGGAAAAGGTCCTAATTCTGTAATTTTATTCCGAAAATTTGAATTCTATGTTTTCGTGCCAAGAGACGCTTAGCTGACCTACAAATTACATTCCCTAATCGGAAATCCTTGACTATCGTTGATTGAAGACTTTTTTGTGGCTCTCCGAAGGGCGTTTCTATCATTATATAATTAAGCTTGATTAGTGTGCTGAGTGACCTCGTATGTTCTGAGTGATGTAGAATTCACTCTCTACGCCACATCAAGACTTCTTGATCTAGTTAGAAGTATCGGAAACAACGGATTAGAATAGCCTATCGTGCCACTGCATCTTTAACCTTCGTTCCGTTTACCGAGTAAGGTGAACTCGTAATAGCATTCAAGCATATCAATTTTAATGACGGTGCCACAAAGATATAGACAATAACTTCAAGTAGGGTTGTTTCAAATGTTCAACATTTTTAATAATCGTCCCATTATAACACATATTGCTTTAGGTATAATTCTCTTCATTTAAAAACTGATTCATTATCAAAATTCTATATTAACAAAAAAAACATTACACTGAAAATAAAACAAAATTACTTTTAAAAAATGAGAAGTAACTTACGGTGAATGTGTAAACCTAGCCAAACATTCACTCCGGTGTATAGATTACTAATAAATGTTAATTCACTTGGACTGTGAACAGATGGCAAATGAGCTTTTCCGTCAACGAAATTAGAACAATTCTTTTCCGCTGCAGACCATGGAAGAGGTGTATCATGTATTGGCGAGAAACATTTATGTCCATACTGCATCCAATGTGGAGGACAAGATGATATGGAATTATTACTGTCTTGAGGTAATGGGTGTTTATAATTTGCTTTATACAAAAGAAATTTTTTGAAAAAATCACTTTTAAGGAAAGATTTGGTTTACTTAACAAAGAAAATGATAATAGGCTAAAATGTAGTGGATGTGAATCATGAAAAATATTTTGTGGATGCGCACTGCTGAGGAGTCCCATAGTAGGACGAAACGGCCGTCCAGAGCTTCGAGGTTTTCCATGGTGGTCTAGCTTCAACTGACTCATGATCTTAATCATTGAAATTTTGTATTTTGAAATTTAACATGAACATGAACTTAGATCTTGTAAAGAAGAAAAAGCCACTAAAAATGCACTGTAATATTATTAAGTCACTTAGTCAACAGTGGAATAGTTGATCAATACAACTCGGTCAAGTATCATACAGATTAGACAGAGTAACAATTACTAATATTCGATATAAACGATTAGCAAATATCGTTAATATAGGGTATTTTAATGAGTTGTGGTTAGTGGAGTTTAAATACTTAGGGTTTGAGACAAATTCCACCAATAGGAATGGATGATTGTTACGTATTATCACTCAGTGATCGAATTTAGAAATGTAAAGAATTAGATACTGATTTATTGGTCATAATAAATTATATTACTGAGTTATCATCACTCGTATGCTTGATAATATACATACACATCATTGATACGTAGACAGTACATACATTGTTGTGCAAAACATATATTGAATGTTTTTTTAAAAAAAGTTGAAGATGAATACATATTTAGTGTAGACACGAGCATGTGTTTAGATAAATACTAATCAGTCAATCAATTTTTAAACTTGTATATATGCATGCACTGCACACTGAAGTTAATTTATTAGGAATTATCTTGTTTAAAGATGTTTATACATACATTTTATTGATAAATAACTAGAATTTTTAATTTGGATGGTTTACATGTATAAGATGATATTCATTGTGGATTGATTTAATGTACCAGTGAGAAGTGGGAAGATATTTCATACTAGTATGGGACTCCATTAGGGATTGACTGGATCCTGAAACTTTCAGGTCCCATGGAGGGTACATGACTTAATTATCAGTAGTCAAGTGTATCCATAACCTATAGATGCTTGTAGTATATTAGTAGATATGTACAACTCTGTGCGCCAAACCATCTATACGTGTGCACTGTCTATGGTAAGTCATAGCTTCTGATTACGTGAAATGTATTTAACTTGGTTATTCGCCAACTATTAGATTAATCAACGAGATATAAGGCAAATTCAGACATATCAAATAAGTGGAAAAGCAAATCAAATGTAAAACATAGTCTTAATCACTAACAATTTAATTCAATTACTTTAAATTTTAAAAATTCCTATATTGTGAATTAGAACACATATAAGTGAATAATATTGTTTTCGATTAGATCCTCATCAAGCTTTACTCTAAAATAGAGCAATATTTACATGAATATACGAAATTATTAAACCAATCAAGGCAGTTTATTGTTCAGTGATAACAGTGGAATAGATTACATAAATATACACAAAAAAGGAATCAGGTAAGTGATTTGAAAAAAAAAACATAGAAGATGAAGTAACATTTCTAAAAACTAGGATTGTTTAACGGGTGTTCAAATAATTAAGCAATGAATCGTATATTTGCAAAAATAGGTGGGAAGGGATGAAGAGAGATAAACAAACAAAGAGTATGTAAAATAGAAATTAATAAAGTCATTTAATAAGACCAAGGGAGAGATAAAGGTGTTACAAATTCCTTACGAACACAAAGACTTGGATTGTTAACTCGGATTCCTATAGCTTCTGCTTCTGTAAGAGACGAGATTGAACCCCACAAGATAAACTAGTAGGAATACGATAAATGACTTAATTCTGTCTACAACATGACCGCTATCCATCAAGTGTGATAGAATCGATCTGCATATTGTCTTGACAGTACCTTTTCCTAACCACGAACGGAGGTGTTCACTAACTCGTTAGCGCAGTTATCTAGAAGTAAGCCCAATGTAGCTTTCTCCACATAAGCAGCTGAATTCGTAGATACACATCAGTCAGTCAGTCCGCTGCAACGTAGGACCAGGCATACATATGCATCGGTCCAAGTTGCCATACCGCATTAGCACAACAAGATGAACACCGGATTTGTAGGAGTGGTTAAGTCAATGGTGGTAATGTATAAAAGAAGGATTGCATATAAGGAAAGAATTAGTTCGTAGAAAGAAAGATTTGAAGTGATTTTAATCTCTTAGTTTAAGGGAAGACAGAGAGTGTATACACCGACGCCATTGTGATCGATTCTGAGCCATGTCACTAAGAGTCTCTAACCATTGGTTACGATAGTCACGCGGACCCCAACCAAGTAGTCTGCATCTACCAACATGGCTCAAACCAGAAGTTAGTGACTTCGAGCACTGATGCCACGTTTTGGTTTGGTCGCCCCTAACTTTCTTCCAATTATCCCTAATACCAGTGAGCATTGCGCGTCGTGCTAATCGGTGTTCAGGCATGCTCAACACGTGGCCCAACCATCTCAGTCGATGAAGATTCATAACCTCATCAACTGATTTACCATCATTCCCTAGTACCCTGCGTCTAACCTCACTATTACTTACCCAGTGATCCCAGCAGATACCCGCAATATTTCTAAGGCACCTGTGGTCAAATATTAGTAAATTACGAATATCTTCTACTCTTAAAGGCCATGTTTCGCAGCCGTAAACTAGAACAGAACGAACTGCCGCGCAGTATACTCGTCCCTTAATTGATAGACGGATATCTCGCCTGCGCCATAGGTGACGTAAGTTGGCAAAGGCTAAACGAGCTTTTCGAATCCTTGCTGAGATTTCGTCAGACACCAACCCATTAGGGCTGATCAGACTTCCAAGATAAGCGAAGTTGTCAACGCGTTCGACTACTTCACTCCCTATCCTTAGTTCAGGTGTTGATGCAGACCAGTCCTGAAGCAACAACTTGCATTTAGAGGGAGAAAAGCGCATCCCAAACATTCTAGCATTGTTGCTCAGTGCTACCACATAGAAACAGATAATTTATCCTTTAGTCGAGGAGTTACCATAGATCGGATAGAGTATGATAGACAGATTATCTGCATTAAACGTCCTTTTAACTGCTCTAGTTAGTCTATCCCCGCAGCAAATCACCAGCTATATCTCGGTGAATTACCGCTACAGGAAGAGAGGTTTCTTATTAGCCGTTAATGTCGCTGTTTTCTTGCTTGCTACATGCAAGTGTTTTTACAGGAAACCTTATGGATAACCCATTTCAATCAACATACTTATAAGCTATAGTTACTTGTTTATAGTATCGACTGAACATATCTTCCTAGCTCTATTCGCAGGACATCTAATTAAGTTTCTCTTATAATGAATGGGAGCAAAGTTCAAGAGATGTGAGTACTGACTTGATGAATAACTTTTCCTATACACACTACTGATAGAACCACTTACTTTTATGTTTAACAAAACGTCAAGCAAATTTAGTTTATTATCAAGTTCCTCTTCACGCGCAAATTTGATTACTGAATGTTTATTGTTAAATAGCTCTAAAATTTATTCTTTTCCAATGTTTTGAGCGACGATAACGAAAGTATCATCAATGTAAAAACAATAGAGGTAAGCCCATCGCTAATCCATCAATTTGTCTGTAATATGTGTTATTAATGACAAAATGGATATTCATAACACCTTTCGGAAGTAATCTTTTGAGGAGTCCCACAATAGGACGAAACGGCCATAAAGTGCTTCCAGGTTTTCAATGGTGGTCTAACATCAATCGGTTCATGATCTCAATCAAAAAATTAAATATTGATCTGTTTTTCAAGTAGTTTTTGGCAAAGTCAATAGTCTGAATTAATGGTACATTGGTAAACAAGAAAGCAAAATTTGGAGATATCATCTGTTTTTCAAATAAGTTCGTATGTTCCACTTTCGAAATGAAATCGAAAACGTCTTCAACGCTTCTATTGACGAGCAGTTTCTGTAAGGGATCGAACTAACCACTTTGCAGTTTTGTGATATGGCGAATTATACATATTTAAAACTGGATGAAGAGAAAGTCTAGTCTCGTGGACTTTGGGTAAGCCATAGAGTCGTGGTATGTTTGATCCAATGGGTCCAAGCGAACCGTGAATGGTTGGAGTAAGTATTCCTTTATTTAACACTTAGTACCTAGACCACTAAGCCAAGGTTCAGTATTGTATAAGTCTAACGTCAATCACCTGACAATTTTCATTAAGTTTTTAATGGTTATCTAGCACAGACTGCTTCGTAATCGTAAAAAAATCCAACAATCTGCACCACCCCTATATTCATATTATTATCACCAAAGGTTTTACAAAAGCTTGAATAGTCATTAAACTTTACCTACGGCATACTTGATCTGTTATAAATAATGACGTTTATCTAATTAAACAGGTCGACTAGAAGGGATACATACATTAGGAACTTACGCAAATGATATCCACAAACTGATGGTAGTTTCAACGAACAAGGCAAAACATCCATTATGGTATTGTCACGATTAATTGATACACAAAAACGACTATTCGAACTTATAGATAGATTGACATTTTTATACGAGAAAATATAGAAATCATGTATCATTGAAGCGTAATACGAATCGTTATTCTCTGTTTTGTAAACCAACTGAAACAATAAGAAATTCAATACAAAATAAACATGATAGTAGGAGTTACTTAGTAAGAAGAATGATAGAGAAAGATTTATCACAATCATGAATCTAATCAGTTTATAATATGTTGCAAGTAAGTACTATTAACTAGAAGCTATGTACTGTAATATTAACTCCGCCTGGAGTCCCTTCAGGGGCTACTGCCGGTCCCAAGCCCGGATAAAGGAGGAGGGTTGGGCATGGGGTTAGAGACCCCATCCCGTAGAAAACTAACTAGCTAAAAAAACGCTAAAAAAAATTGTTCAAACCATTTAAACTCTGCCCTGGGAGTCAGATATTCGTTTAGTAGAATTATGACGCCTTATGATGAAAGCCGAGTACCTTCAGAAGTCACGAGGCCGATGCCTCTTCTGACAACCAGAGCAACCATGTATTTAGGTGCATGGAATGCTCGTACAATGTGGGAGACTGGGAGAGTTTTCCAAATTGCTGCAGATACAACCTAGAGGTGCTTGGGATCAGTGAAACACATTGGACGCAAGTGGGACAACAACGACTAGCTTCAGGGCAGCTGCTGTTATACTCCGGATATGAAGAAGAAAATGCCCCACATACACAAGGAGTAGCATTGATTCTATCCAAACAAGCGCAAAATGCACTTATAGCATGGGAATCTCATGGACCCAGGATCATCAAAGCCTCTATCGAAACAAAGAAAGAGGGCATTACAATGCTACGCGCCTACCAACGACTACAATGAAGACGTTAAAGATCAATTCTACGATAGGCTGCAGTCAATCGTTGATAAGTGTTCAACAAAGGACTTGAACATTCTGATAGGAGACCTAAATGTCAAGGTTGGAATGGACAACACTGGATATGAAGAGATCATGAGACGACATGGACTGAGAGAAAGGAACGAAAATGGTGAGAGATTTGCAAACCTATGTGCCTTCAATAAACTGGTCATAGGCGGAACTATATTCCCAGATAAGCGCATCCACCAAACCACATGGACTTCACCGGATCACACTACGCAAAACCAAATCGACCATATCTGCATCAACAAAAAGTTCAGGAGGACGATGGAGGACGTGAGAACCAAGAGAGGAGCTGATTTAGCATCAGATCATCACTTGCTGGTCGCCAAGATAAAATTGAAACTCAAAAAGCACTGGACAACGGGGCGGACAATATCACAAAAGTTTAATACGGCTTTTCTTTTGAGATACTGACAAACGCATCAAATTCAAGATTGCTCTTAGTAACAGGTTCCAGGCCTCTCACGATCTATTCAATAGAGAGGGAACTACTGTGGACAGCAACTGGAAAGGGATCAAATGGGCGATCACATGTCATGAGGTTCTGGGCACAAGAAGCACCATCACAAAGGATGGATCACTGTTGATACACTGGATAAGGTTTACGAAAGGAGGAACAAGAAGGCAGCAATCAATACCAGTCGAACAAGAGCAGAAAAAGCCAAGGCACAAACCGAATACACAGAAGTAAACAAGCAAGTGAAGAGGAGCATCAGAACCGACAAACATAAATATGTGAAAGATCTAGCAATGACGGCGGAAAAGGCTGCAAGAAAAGGAAACATGAGACAATTGTATGATACAACAGAAAACTCGCTGGAAATCACCGTAAACCAGAACGACCAGTGAAAAGTAAGGAAGGCGAGGTAATCACCAACATTGAAGAACAACGAAACGGGTGGGTGGAACACTTCAAAGAACTCTTGAATAGACCAGCCCCACTGAACCCACCCAACATCGAAGCAGCACTCACGGACCTCCCAATCCATGTTGGCCCACCAACAATTGAAGAGATCAGTATGGTCATCATACAAATCAAGAGTGGCAAAGCAGCGGGACCAGACAACATCCCAGTAGAGGCACTGAAAATAGATGTAGCAGTAACTGCGAAGATACTCCACATCCTCTTCAGCAAGATTTGGTATGAAGAACAAGCACCAACAGACTGAAAAGAAGAACGCCTGATCAAGATACCAAAGAAAGGCGATCTCAGCAAATGTGAGAACTACAGAGGCATCACTCTTCTCTCAATATCAGGAAAAGTCTTCAACAGAGTGTTGTTAAACAGGATGAAGGACTCCGTAGATGCCCAACTTCGAGACCAACAGGCTGGATTCGTTAATAATTGATAGTGTAAAGACCAAACTGCAACTCTACGGATCATTGTGGAACAATCAATTGAATGGAATTCATCGCTCTACATCAACTTCATTGACTACGAAAAAGTATTTGACAGCGTAGACAGAACAACATTATGGAAGCTTCTCCGACACTACGGAGTGTCTGAGAAGATAGTCAATATCATACGGAATTCCTATGATGGATTAAACTGCAAAACCGTTCATGGAGGACAGTTGACAAACTCCTTCGAAGTAAAGACCGGTGTCAGGCAAGGTTGCTTACTCTCACCCTTTCTCTTTCTCCCGGTGATCGACTGGATCATGAAGACATCAACATCTGAAGGGAAGCACGGGATACAGTGGACAGCTAGGATGCCATTGGATGATCTAGACTTCGCAGATGATCTGGCTCTTCTATCGCAAACGCAACAGCAAATACAGAAGACGACCAGTGTAGCAGCAGCTTCAGCAGCAATAGGTCTCAATATATACAAAGGGAAAAGCAAGATTCTTCGATACAACATAGCATGTACCAATCCAATCACAATTGATGGAGAAGATTTGGAAGATGTACAAACCTTTACATATTTGGGCAGTATCATCGATGAACACGGTGGATCTGATGCAGATGTGAAGGCACGGATCGGAAAAGCAAGAGCAGCATATTTACAACTGAAGAATATCTGGAACTAAAACAAACAATTAGCAACCAACACCAAAGTTAGAATTTTCAATACAAATGTTAAGACAGTTCCACTGTATGGGGCCGAAACCTGGAAAACTACGAAAGCCATTATCCAGAAGATACAGGTGTTTATTAACAGTTGTCCACGCAAAATACTTCGGATCCGTTGGCCGGACACTATTAGCAACAACGTACTGTGGGAGAGAACAAATCAGATCTCAGTGGAGGAGGAAATCAGGAAGAAGCGCTGGAAGTGGATGGGACACACATTGAGGAAAGCACCGGAGTGCGTCACAAGACATGCCCTCACATTGAATCCTCAAGGTCAAAGGGGGAGAGGAAGACCAAAGTACACATTACGCCGGGAAATGAAGATAGACATGAGGAAAATGAACAAGAATTGGATGGAACTAGAAAAGAAGGCCCAGGACAGAGTGGGTTGGAGAGTGCTGGTCGACGGCCTATGCTCCGTTAGGAGTAACAGGCGTAAGTAAGTAGTGTACTGTAATATTACTCAGAAATTTAACACACCTAGCGACTATAGGTTTACACACTCAGCTTTGAGCCACACTATTCGTATGAGAATACTAATGTTACCCAGCTATTAAAACAGGTAGGTAAAATGAGAATCGGCCTACTGACTTAGGTAGCCGACACTTGGACGCCTAAACTACTAAACAACTGCTCCATATGATGTTGATAACAATATAGGGGTCTCAGCTATTTCGTCTTAAGATTATACTATTTAAAGAAATTCAGATAGCATGTTGGCTTTATGTTTGTTCATTTTAATTAGATAAATCAACACTCCTTATTGCATATTATTATACTCAGAATTAATAAGACACTTTCATAATAGATAAGTTATTATAATTTCCAATCAACATTTCTAAATTTTTCAGTTAAGTAAGGAATTGTGAAGTTAGAAATGTATGTTGTGATTTTACTGCTAAAAATTTTAATTGAACGATCTTGATGAGGTGTGGCACGGTATACACCTAATGTGAACAATAACATAATAAAGAAAAACAACAATCCACTAAGCAGAAGCATTTTCATGCACTCATATTTGAGTCACATCGTTCTATTACTCAGGACGACTGATAATACCTAAATGTTCAAAGTGAAGCTACCAGAGCAATGTTCGAATCTGCAATCCTATAGTTGGAAAGTAAGTAAGTTTCGATAATTAAGTTACTAATCTACAGTTTATTTTGGTATCCTTGTTTGTGATTGGTTACATTCGCACGTTTCATTGCCTTTAGTCATTTTGCTATCCAAATTGACTGCCTTGTTCAGTTGACTTGTGACAATGTGGTTGACTGATCTTTATTGTACGGGTTGATAGATCGGATCAACCTCGAGTAATTTGTGAGCTATGTTTCTACGAATTCTTTAGCATAGCTAGAACTTCCTCGATCTGGAAGTGTACAATTGAAACATCTATGCGGTAAACTGCACCAACTGTGATGAACGCTAAATTGGGCTGGTTAAAACCCTTTTCTCGAACATATATACAAATACAAAATAACAGTAAAACGACATAGTTTATTATCCCTGACACTAATGCATGTAGATAACCACGGACATGAATTCGACTTATAGAAGATAGGAATTCTGGCTTGAGGGAATGCAAAGAATGCCAGGAAGATCCTAGAAGCACGGGAATCAGGTCAATCAGCCACAAAGTCAGGGGTCGATTGAACGAAACAGCCAACTTGAACGCAAGGACAAATGAAGACAACGAATCCTACAACCACAACCAGTCGCAAATAGAGATATTGAGACGCTTGTAGTATAACTAAGGGAGTTAAATATACATGAAGTAAGCGCTGATAATGTCGTACAGAACGACAAGAAAGATTCTGTAAATAAACTATCTAGCTTGGAGAACTCAAAAAAATTATATATATTGTAGGCTTGAATGGTGAACTCGCGTACTTTGGTTTGGGTAACCTACTAGTATAATTAAATTCCAAATAAAGTATTACACAACCTAAGTACACAGACCCATACTTTTTGGTAGCAAAATAATGAAATACAATATGGTAACCAAAAGAATGAATATAAAAATCTAAATTATGTTAAAAAATACGTAAATTAAATAAAGAAAATTCCTAGATATTAACAATTAATTACAATTTTCATCACCTTCGATTTTAAGTCATACATAAGTGAAACACCTGTCCAAGCTCGATCAACAGTTAAATTAGACGTAGTCTGTAGTAATAAACGCATGAAAGCAGTTTCGTCATTAGAATAAGGTGACATTTTGATACCGCATAGTGAAGAAATTTCAGTCTCATTACCAGTATAAAGACGATAACAACGTTTATTGTATTCATAAAAATTAGCTTTGCATGCACCTTGAGTAAGGATAAGCGATGAAATCGACACACTAGTGCTGCTAACAGATGAAATTTTAGCTAAATAAATAGCAAAAGATAGAAAGAAAATGTAAGTTGTTTACGGAAGAATCAAGAAAACAAAAACTTGTAGGGCCCTTTATTTTGTCGTCATTTAGATCGGACGATGTTGTCGAAGGGCTCTCCACTTTAGTGGCCCGTGACCTGACTCCAATTTGATCGTATGAATGATTGTTTTTGAAATATATATGTCGCCTATCCTCGTATATAATCATCGACTTAAATCGCGTTAGTCAATAACGGAATTAAATAAGTCAAATGACGAGAATAGACTTTGAATACATATATTTTGGATATGAAGTGAATAGAACAGAGAGGAGGGAAACGACGCGCAGTGGAGATGGCTGGTAAGCCAACTCCCCTTTAGTTAAGCGTTAATCAATGATTATAGATACATAAAAATAAGTTACAGACATGTGATAAATAATGGGATAAGAAGTGGACACACCTACGCGCTCAAATAAAAATAGTCAAGATTGATAAGCGAATAATTAACAAGGTCAGAATGTGACTCAAGTAGAATGAATAGAATGGGCTGTCTGAAAGTTAGAATAATGTATATGGGCTTAACATATTGACAGACACTACAAACTACAAAAGGAAAATAGATTCATCCTTAGGTTGCTAGTAGTTGATTACAGACACCTTTGAAGGATTGCTCATGTCTGTTGGGATTACCGAATCAACAATACTGTGATTAGACGCAAGATACTATGTAAAAATGGCAAAACGACTGAGATGGTTAGGAACATGTTATGTGTATGTCCAATCATCGCCTACCAGAATGGGCAGTGTTTACAGGTGTATAAGCAGGTTGACAAAAAGATAGGAGTGGTCAAGCTAAAAAAAATTGGCATCAATTCATGATAGATTTAGCTGTGTTTAGAATTGATGGCAATGATGTAGATGGATGTACTCCCTTAAATGGTGATTTTCAAAATTATTTCACAAAGTTCACTCCGCTAATTCATATTTTCTTCTTGAATCTTTTCGACTAATATTGATACTGTTACTATTTCTATTACTATGGAACCTCGTTGTGCTGATGTAGTGTGACAATTTGAACTGATGTACATATTTCCAAGATTCAATGTTAATTGTGATTATGACTGATTGAAATTAATACACAAACAGTTGAATAATAAAATCTATGTACTGAATGTTGTGATACACGGCTAATTAGTTACAATAGTGATTTTAAAAAAAGATCAAGTAAAACGATTTTCACTAGGTAACATGAATTTATTTTCTTTTGTTAGATGGCTTTCGTTTAGTGCTTAAAACTTATGTTTTAATATCGAAATTGCAAAGTGGGCTGAAAGTGCACATAGAAATACGAACATTCTTCCACTCGACTCGTTGATTTTTCTCTTTTTTTCAAGTTAATAAACTGATCGACTACTATTGCTAAATTAAACTAATAATTGCGTAGTAAAACAAAACTGGGAACATTTTAGTCAAGTGAATATTTGTATATTCAGCAATTTTTCGGTGCACATACTAATGACACTACTAGACTGGATTAAAGCTTTAATTGGAATGATAGGTGGTGATTGAACATCGCTTTATTTAACCAATTTCCTCCATTTATTTATACAATGCACATAAAATCTGGTGAAAATTTCTGTATCAAAAACAACAAACTCCCCATAAATATTTGTGTGCGCTGGGATGCTGTCTGGGAATCAGAATTGAAGTAGACAGTTTTCTTAGGTGACCACCCTCCAAGCCTTTAACCTATAAGTCTATCTCATAAAGTAATGGGAAAACCTAGAAAGACGCCATCCTACAAAAGTCGGTGACCAGAAAATAAGTTTATAGGCTACTTTACATTTTACGCTTCAATAATAATTTAAACCTTGTTAGTGAACAACAATCCCCCAAGTACCCTGGTACGGTCGAGGGTGGGGAGAGTCAGCTCAACCTCTCTAAATGCTCTCGCATGACCACGCGTATACAGCCGCTGCTACAGAAGTCCTACTGACTGACCTCTTGTGGTGAGGGTGTTGTTTACGAAATTGAGAGGACGAAAAGCGGATGTTTGGCGCTCTAACTGCGTTAGTAGACACGGAGGGTTCACCAAGGTGAGTTGGAAAACCCTGATTCTGAGCCAATGCTGCATATGGGTCCCAGGATCCTGAGGGAACGATTGGCATATGAACCGATTGTTGGTCACCGGCCACCATGAGACTGAAATTTAAACAACACCCTCGTCTCGAGAAGGTAGTGAGTAGGACTTCTGTGGTAGTGCATGTATAAGCGTGACCAAGTGAGAGCATTTCGGGGCTACTATTAAGTCAGTCAGTCAGCTGCAACATAGGACCAGGCATACATATGCATCGGTCCAAGTTGCCATACCTCATTAGCACAAGATGAACACAATATTCCTAGTTGATGTGTGGGTGAGAATGATCATGATTGGTTGTCTGCTAAGTCAGACATGTTGCTCAGTGCTACCAAGAGACTGAATTTTATGAGCGTCTTCACTAAACAGGACTAAACCATCTGCGTATTTTAAGTTGATAAGTGGACCTCCTGGTAGACCAATTCCTGGATATTCAGTCAATGAAAGCGTTATTTTCATCAGTAGATCTATGAACTTAAACAAAAATGGAGATAGTGGACAGATTTGTCGGACACTACTTAAGGTCACAAAATCAGATGACGGTTCGCCATAAGCTCTGACTCGACTATTAGTGTTCCAGTATAAAGCCTTCACAATGTTTATGTACTTCTGAGGTACGCCTTTCAATGACAGAAAATAGCACAGAACCTCTCGGTCTACATAGTCAAATGCTACTTTTAAGTCAAGAAAAACTATCGTTGTCGGACGCCGATAAGCATGCCTGTGTTCTAGAGCCTGACGAATGGTGAATATGTGGTCTATGCAACCACGAACAGGTCTGAAGCCAGCTTGATTTTTTCATGTTTGCAGTTCACCAGTCTTAGGCGTCCGATAATTATCGAGGCTGGTATTTAAGATACTATATTGGTTAAACTAATCCCTCTATGGTTGTCACAGGATGATTTTGACCTGTGATCGCGACCAGTCAGATGGGATTATGTCCGATCCCCAGATTTTAGCCAATATATTAGTCAACCTAATCTCTAAAATTGGACCACCATTCTTAAATACCTCTGGAGCCAATCCATCTGGACCAACTGCCCTTCCTCGTTTCAGATTAGCTATGGCTTTTTGAACTTCAATTGGAATCGAGAGGGTTACTTCAACGTTCCATTCAGGCTGTTTGGAAATGGTGGGTAGCTGTAGAGTAGTTGAAGGCCAGCTGAACTACTCCTTAAAATGTTCCGCCCATCGTTCTAAACGTCTGGACTGGGAGCAGATAAGTGCCGTCGTTTTTCGAGATCGTCTTACTTACACTTGACTTATAAATTCCAGTTTTATTTATTAGCCTGAAAAGCTGTCTGGCTTCACCTACAGCGGCTGCCTTTTCCATCTCTTTTGCTTTCGATGCCCACCAATGCTCACGGTCGTTCCTTAGACTTTCGCTTAACCTAGATCTGATTTGTTTTCGCTCTTCAACGTGTTCAGAGCCTGATGGAATGTTTACGAGAATCGATTAGTGCAATAGACTTAGCAGAAACCCAATGGTTTTTCGTAACCCTATAGTTTAAATCACTAATAGATGTCACAGCTGTTTCCACAGCTGATTGTATATCTTTCCAATCAATATCTGCGTCAGTTTCGTATTCAGAACTATTTAAGCGTGACCTCAGTTGTTCCTGGAATCTACATTTGGCTTCCTCGTGCTAAGTTCAAATCTAATGGGCCTTCTTAATGTGGTTTTCCTGCGTCCATAGAGGTGTAAGTAAACGCGCGCTCGTATTGGATCATAATCGGGTCCAAGCGGGTATTCCAGAACGAGCGACAGTCTTCTATCGAGCCTCTCTAATGATGATTGATGGCAATATGGTCTATTTAAGTCCATCGTTGGTTTGTTGCAGGGGGTCGCCATGTTGGACGACGTCTCTCCTTATGCTTAAAATTAGTGTTTATTAAAAATAAGCGATTAGCTGAGCACAGTTGCAGCAGACGATCACCATTATCTTTTCGCTGAGCCGGAATACCAGAATACTCACCTAAATGTCTTTCTGTTAGGTTTAAGATACCTACCTGGGCATTAAAGTCACCTGCTACGTGTAATCTGTCTGAGAGAATTGTTCCTTGAAGTTATGAAAGCTTTCTGTAAAAGTCATCCTTCATTTCATCCGGGCTGCAGTCAGTGGGAACGTAGGCAGAAACGACAAAAAGGCAACGACGTGTGTCCCTATCCTTCCAAGTTCTTACGGGGCCGTTTAGCCGAACAGGGGATCCATTCTAATACTGCTTGTTATGCCCTCGTACTCAGTGTTATGTCTACACTTGCCAGTCCAGAGGTTTTGTGGAGATTGTAGTAATTTCAATAGTTAAGATCATGAGTCAATTGAAGCTAGACCACCATGGAAAAACCTGGAAGCACTGGACAGCCGTTTCTTTTGGTTGTGGGACTCCTCAGAAGTGCGCATCCACGATCCCGCCTTGCGGGATTCGGACCCAGAAACTATCAGTCTCGCGCGCGAGCGCCTAACCACTAGACCACTAGGCCGGCATCCAACAGTGTTAATGTCTAACTCCAACTAAACCACGAAATTGAGCGACACATTCACGATTGTCATCAGTGAGTTACTATTTCACAACTGACCCAGTTGAACTCCACCGGTCAGCGCTTCTCACTAGAACTCCAGGATATATATCTTAAAGCCAGTCACTAGTGAGCATATGTTGATTAGCATCAGAAGGGGTTTTGTGGGGATTGTAGTAATTTCATTAGTTGAGTCCAGTGCTTCCAGGTCTTTTATGGTCGTCTAGCTTCAATTGACTCACGATCTCAACTAATGAAATTACATATATTGTTACAGAATTTGAGTATACACAACGAGTAAATACACTACAGACAATATGATAAATTCTAAAATCTCAACAATAGTAGCACAGAAATCATACGGTGGTTATTAGCACATTAATGAACTAAAAAAGAGATTGCAGAGATCATCTAAACTTCAACCAGATTCCCTGACTTTAGTTGAATTGTTGTTAGAGTTCATATGGAAAGCCACTTGTTACATGAAACTTGAATGTCTCTGTCAATCGGTCTGAGTCTTTTAAACATGAAGTGAGTAAATTCAGTCGATAATCAGATAAGAAATCAAATAACCACGGGAAAAAGCTTCCATATATATATATATATATATATATATATATATATATACGAGATCTGAGCAAATGTGAAAACTACAGAGGAATCACACTACTACCAGTACCAGGGAGTCTTCAACAGTGTTGCTGAACAGGATGAAAGACGCAGTAGACGCTCAACTTCGAGATCAACAAGCTGGATTCCGTAAGGTCGGTCGTGCACAGACCAAATTGCGACACTACGGATCATCGTCGAACAATCAATTGAGTGGAACTCGTCACTGTACATCAACTTCATTGATTATGAAAAGGCATTTGACAGTGTAGATAGAACGGTATGGAAAATTCTTCGACACTACGGAGTTCCTGAGAAGATTGTCAACATTATCCGGAACTCATACGACGGACTACAGTGCGAAGTAGTGCATGGAGGACAGCTGACAGATGCATTACAAGTGAGGACCGGAGTAAGACAAGGTTGTCTACTCTCTCCCTTCCTGTTTCTCTTGGTGGTCGACTGGATTATGAAGACCTCGACATCTGAGGGAAAACACGGCATACAATGGACAGCTCAGAACCAATTAGACGACTTGGACTTCGCAGATGACTTAGCCCTCCTATCACATACACACGAACAAATGCAGATAAAGACAGTCAGTGTAACAGCAGTCTCTGCATCATTAGGCTTCAAAATACACAAAGGGAAAACCAAGGTCCTCGAACACAACACGGAGAACAGCAGTCCAATCACTCTTGGTGGCAGAACTCTGGAAGATGTGGAATCCTTCACATACCTGGGAAGCATCGTCGATAAACAAGGAGGCTCAGATGCAGAAAATTCAAAACCCCTTTACGTATTCACAAAACAGTTTGTCTTCAACCTGAAACTATCCAGATAATATAAGTTTATTATCCAGAGTAATGAGTTTCAGATTGCTGTTAACATTTTTTTCATGATTATTATCTTTGTTTCCGCCTACCTTCTACTTGTCCAGTTGACCTTTTCATTTTTCATATATTAATGATCCTAACAAGTATATGTGTGATCAGAATGTTCGAAATGTATTGTGCTAATACATCACATAGTTCTGGTAATCTTTAACTTTTTATTACACCATCCAAATATAACGTTGAAAAAAAGGGAAACTTACGTTTAGCTGCGACTTGACAGATATAAGGTAAAGAGGAAGAGCAATCAACTTCTTCCCATTGTCCAAGATGCAATGGACGCTGATGCATCATTGTACATAATCGCTTAGTTAATAAGAAATATAAAGAATGTTTTAACTTTACTATTAAAAGGTCAATTTTCTGCAAGAGCATAGTTAACATAAACTATCCCATTCCAAAATACACTCAGTTGGTGACGACTTATACGGTTTCTAGAACTGAATCAAAATGAGTGAACTAATCAAACACGACTAGCTATCATTTTGAGGCGCTGTACCACAAACTAATCATCTCTTGTTTCTTCATTAACGCACAAAACATTGTAAATAGTTCTGAGACCTATTAATGGACTAATATTATCTATATATTCTTATGGTATAACTATTCAGTAATTAGATTGTGTATATTTATATTCACCTTATTGTAAGCTTCATTTTTATCCATAGATTATTATTGTAAGATTTACCGTTCTTAACTTATACTCGGTTTATTAATTACAATCCCCACAAAATCCCTTCTGATACTAGCCATATACGTATTTATTTTTTTGTCTACTCAAGCCGTTTATGTTTGTGTACTGTTGAAAAGCATAATAAATTTAAGTTTTACATTTTGAGAGGCTCAACTTATTTCTAGTAGTAAATACGCTGATTTTTCCACACAATCTACTGAAAAACAGGATGTAGTACATATTTGTTGTAAGCAGTTTCTTTAGTGGTAACCCCCGACCGTTACTGCTATCTTGACGTGGTGGTCGGGGTTACCTATTGTGATGAACCAATCAAACTATACTGGCTAGAACAATCGTTCCTCAAGGTCCTACCATGCCAGACACGTCGGCTTAATATGCACACGATGCTTGTCTTTGAATAACGATAGACTTCAACAAACAAATTCATCCCGAACAAATCCAATTATCAAATAAAAATCCATTTGTTCAAGTTTGGTGAGAGAATAACAGTTCAAGATTAATGACAATAGCACTAAATCACCGTCACATCTCATAAAATTTAAAAAATAATAGTCAAATGGTCATCGACAACACGTGAAAATACATATCGTTTTAAGTTGCCACAGCTCATATCAAAATACCAAGAGAAGGGAAGCTGACAAAACGATAAGCTAAAGATGAAGGAAATAAAGTGACGAGGTCGAAGCACAAAAAAAATGAAAAAAAAACATCATACCCAGGACTTAGAGGAAGGAAAGGAACACTTGTGTTTTTGCCGTGTAATGATTTCGAGTCATATCATTCGACCGCTCCAACCATGGATCATGATGGTCACACACATGATCTAGTAAATTTTTTTCTTGTTAACCCGTTTACTGGGCCCAAATTCACGCAACCGGCTTTAAGCAACCCTCTAAGTGTGTGAGAGCTAGTGATACTGTGTGGTTGGTTATCCAAACCGAAGTAGATAAGATGGGGTTCGAACCTGCGATCTAGCGATTGAAAATCGAACGTTCCAAGTATTTAACTCCAGCTACACCTGGGAATGCGAAATTAATGGTTTGAAATTCGTTTCTTTTCTTAGATTATAACTCATACGTTAAATATTGACTAGTTAACAAAACACACAATAGTTCACCTTTTCAGTGTTGAGTATCTGTTTCGGATACCAATTTGTATAGTTGATAACATCACCACGAATCCATTTACGTTCACTTTGATCAAGATACATACCGATCCATACCGGATAGGAAGAACGGGCAATTAATACAGAGAGAGCATCTGTTTTTTTTCGTGAAAAACAAAATAAGAGCAATGCACCGGATTATAAAATACGTGAATGTTTTTTATATAACAAAATAAAGACAGCTTTATTAATTGACAGATGAGGTGTTAGTGAATTTGAAATGTGGTTATTACAGAATGAATTTCTTTGAACCAGGATTAAGAATTCAATAATGATTCCTAAAATCGAACTACGAACACAGTTTATCATATCATTTTTATTCGTTAAAAGCTAAATATATAGCATGCTGTAACTAAATTAACGAGAACTGATAAATAAATAACTGAAGAAAATATTAGGACTAAACCTACCTTGTTCCATAGGTGATGCAACAGTAGCGAGAGATGCTAAAGTATTTGAGGCTTTACACTGTTCTTCCGCTTTGTCCCACGTTAATCTGCTGGACGGATCTTCACTTAGCTATAAGTTAATATAACACGAGGGATCATTGATCTAAGTATTTTTTTCTGATAATCTCGTTAGTTAAATGCTTATAACTAGTGACTTGCAAACCATGATGTGTAATTCACGGAAAAGCTTAAATCGAGGTTTTTCGGCTAATACACTCGACTTCTAGCCGTTAAGGGTTGCCGTCTTACACGCTACTTCACCTACACTGGTTCGAGAAGTGTCATATAAATTGTGTGGATCGAAGTCTGCTACTCACAACTGTGGATTGCAGAAATGCATCACTTTAGTTCAATCAACCAAATTCAAATAAAATACAAAGAATCCAACTTTACTACTTCTTAAAAAGACGGGGAAAAAAAGAAAAATAACAGAGAAATACTACAGAACATGTAACCCAATGATCAGTGTATCCACAGTTGTTCTAATCCCAAAGTATCTGAATCCAAAAGTGCTTGAACAGTTGCACAAACTTTCCTTTCAGTAATTGGTGCATACAGCAAGTGGCAAGAAATTTTTCTCACGGAACATCCAACTGCACATCACACAGTCAGAAAACTACGTCAACTATTCAGTCGTTTCAGGATTCTAGAATTGGTAATTTGCCACAATGAAACACAATTTACGACCGCTGTCTTCTCAGAACTTTGTCAGTAGAACGGAATCCGTCATGTCTGAACACCATCGCATCCCCAATCCAATCGCCAAGTAGAACGTTCTGTCAGTACATTTAAAAATGCTGTGAAAAAACCAAATGAGAATGGGACCACAAGAGAGATTTTAGAGGGGTTCCTGATTATCGTTCTACGCCAAATCCTCAGAAAATTAACAGGGTCTCTTTAGAAGAAGCTTTACTCGGCAGAAAAGTACGAACACAGTTTGATGCCATTTGTTCGACGCTAGTTGTTGAGTCTCGACGAAACAGATTGATGGAGAGGCGATTCAATCTAGATCTACATGGGGTACAAAGATGATTGTTTACTGTGGGTCAAAAAGTACTTGCTATGGACTATCGTGGGAAACATTCGACATGAGTAGCTGGTCGAATCGTACAAAAGAAAGGAAGTGTGGTTTACGAGTTATCAGTTGGCTAAGAAGTTTGGGTGTCATGCTAATCAACTAAAAGCAACTTCAATTTTCAGCAATGACACCCAACATAGAATACCTTTTGATGTTTTGCTGGACACCTTTGAAATTAAAACTCATCAAACAAACAGGCCAGTCTCTGTGGGAACAAAGGCTGATACCACTTCTTTATTACCTAGGTTGACAAATCGGAAGCACAGACCAGTCATGCAATTGCACATGGATCCTAACACCAGATCCTATGAATCTGCTCGAAGCGGAGGTTAGCGGGATAAAGATTAGAGCATGTCCGTGCGGGATTGCGTTGGGGCACGCTAATTGGCTATTTCTTAGTTAGAGAAGACTACCACTTTTCTTATTATGATACCTACTTCCAGTATTAATTATCATTTCATTTTATGTGTGTGGGCTGTGATACTGCACGGGTGCCCAGATCGAAGCAGGTGGTTTTCTTGGGGGCCACATCGGGAGCCTGTGACCTAGAGGTCTAATCCACGAGGCAGTGGAGCAACCTAAGGAGATGCAGTTCCATGGTAGTGAGCGACCAACAATTGGTTTAGACGCCCTTTGTTCCCTTAGGATCTTCTCAGTTTCGTAAACAACGCCCCACCCCGTGAGAGGGCAGTAAGACTTTTACAACAGTGGCTGTATATGCGCAGCCATAAACTCAGGTTGTTTTTTAAGCAACTTTAGATAATTACAATTCTATGTAATTCTTTTGGATCAACAAGCCAGAAAATAAAACTCAAGAATTCTCCGAGATATGCTAAAAATCACTAATATTAAAATTGATACAGCTATAAATGTTTTGCACAAATTAAAATATTATTGTTACCAGTCAATAAGACTAAAACCGAGATGATTAACTCACCAAGTAGCAGTTTTTATCGAACAGTTTGTAACCATGAGGGCAGATAAGAGTGCTCTGATTAGAAAATGGATGTCGATAGGATATTTGAGGAATGTCGCCACACACAAAACTTAGTTTTGTATCACATGGGATAAACTCCCATGTAAAAAGACCTCCTGAGGCTAAAATTGAATAAGTATTTTTAGAATTAACACTACTCGAATTACGAAATAATTAACAACTTCGAGATTTTAGCAAATCAGGATACAAATTCAGTTTGATATATATGGTGTGAGACTAAGGTATTGTAACTTACATATATTAGACATAGCACATCCTTCGACACTTCCCGGCTTTCCAGAAATAAAAATTTGTGGCACTGCAGAATATCCAGATGACCAGTGCAAATGACCGTTTTCAGCGAATAAGCCAATCCATAATGCGATGATTGGAGGCTCAAACTACGAATAAGTGGATAAACAATGAAAACGGTATTCAATAACACTTCTCTTATTCGTCTTGTAAATATCAGGTCTAAAACCAAACCTAATCAATTCATCAAAAACCATAAACGTTACGGAAGTACTGCATATTCATTATAAAATGGCTTATGAATGGTAGTTAGAATTATTTTATTGATTAGTTACTTTTATCGTATTCTATGAAAACAATCAATTAGAAAGATTTGATAACTAGTCAACTGTTCATAGCCCCCAAATGCCCTGGTACGGCCGAGAGTGGGGAGAGTCCGCTCACCCTCTCAAAATGCTCTCACATGACCACGTGTATATAGCCTCTGCCAGGGAAGTCCTACTCACTGCCTTCACGTGGCGTAGGTGTTGTTTACGAAAATGAGAGGACGAAAAGCGAATGTCCGGCGCTTTAACCGGATCCAAAACCAATGGTGCACATGGGCTCCAGTATCCTGCCTGAGGGAACAAATGGTGTGTGAACCAATCGTTGGTCACCGGCTACCATGGGACTGCATCTCCTCACGATGCTCCACTGCCTTGTAGGTCAGACATTCAGGTCGAAGGCTCGGGGTGTGGCCCCCTAAGAAAACCACCTGCTTCGGTTTGGGCACCCGGGCAGTATCACAGCCCTCACACTTATGAAATGAGATGTGTGGCGCATATGTATTTGGTGCCTCCTTGTACCAATACCTATGTGTTAAAATAAATAAATAATAAAACAACTGTCCATAAGTTGACTTAGATATTACTGCGTGGGCTAGTGGAACCACAAAGCTACTGAAACCTAATCAGGTAGTGAGGTTCAAATTCTCAACAGTGCTTGAGATTCTGGTTTACTAACAGCAGACTAATCGTCTCATTATAAGCCTAATTAGCTTTTAGCTAACCAGAGTCAAGAGACAAAGTAAGAATCCAAAGTACAAAATTCCTCGAATTCACTTCAACAAGACTGGTGCACTAAATACCTGAGTGTTTTGGCTAGCAAAAGATTTATTATGTATGAGAGAACATTTGGTACCATTTTTTGATTTAGAAACTACATCTGTAAATTTATAGATGAAACTGGGACGCACTCAAGTCAGGAGATGCAACGATAAGCTGTCGGCAAATATTTACTATCGAAACACCTATTAATCGCTCGCAGTTGCGTATGACAGAAAAATCAATCAGAGTGAGGTAGTACGGCCTAACGTTTTTTGGTACTTGACTACGTATTGATTTACAGGTTAAAAACTAAGCTTAAAGACTACCATCAAGAGAAATAAACGTCCACTACAAAACGAAAGAAATCCCTAGCTTACTGAAAAAAGCAAAACTTTGGCCAATCAGATCATTTTTGTGTTTGATGAAGCAGTTCTCGGCTTTTAAGCTCGGATAAGATTAGGTGTACATAGAAACATGGCAAAAGGGTGTAAAACACCATATCTGCACGGTTATATTTTTGAAAACGGTTAATTACAAATGAGTGAGTATAGAGTGTGAAAATATGCTTCAAATATTACGATGTTTTTTTGGGACAGAAATGAGCCAAGGTCATGAGATGAACGCCCTGGAATTTTTAAAAATCTGAGCCGCACTTGAAAATTAATGTCTGTTCTAGGTGAGCACTATGGAAATCGTACTAAGTCAAAGTTATACTGCTCCAAACCTGGTTTACAGTTTAGAAAACAGGGTACTGTAGAAAATCTTAAATTTTCTCAACTTTGCTACTTTTTATGCTGATATTCGTCAATATTTGGACGAACAGTTTGACAGAATGTGGGCGCCGGGTGTAAAGAAAACACTATTTGTGGAAATTATATTTGAAATAACTGCACGGGTCGAAACTCAAATAACGTTTCGTCGAGCAGTCCTGTCTAGACTTCTTCAGGGTAATAATCAAGATCAAGATTACTAAACCGTTTGCAATCTATTTTGTATTACTGAGCTGTCCCTCCATCATGAGAAATTCATTTGCACGAATCAATCACAAAAATATCTGCAAATTTTTTATCCATGTACCCGCCAACACAGTAGTCAGTCCCAACACGCATAGCACGTATAGGGCAAATTTTATTGAAAGGTCCGATGTATCTAACTTAATAGCAAAAAAAATGGGAAATCACTGTTCATCTTTATATCCGTACCCAAACTCCCGATTTTGGAGAAATTTCGAGTTTTTACCCCAATTCCAATGAAAATGGGCAGTTCTCCCAAAGCTTAGGAAGATCCCACAATTTCGGGGGGATTTCGTGCAATTTCCCTAAATTTCCTCAAAATGGGGAGATTGGGTGGTCTTACAACGGTGCTCCATCAAAAGCATGATAGCTTACATTTGTCTGAAACTCCCTTAGAAATTCTTGCTGCGATTTTGTAGACAAAGTAACTAGAGAGAGGTTATGTTGTTTGCATTCAATCTGAGCATCTTTAAAAGTCGCTGAGTATGAGAAATATCGCAGACAAAAGTTCCTTCCTGTCTTCGTATCACATTTTACTGTGGAGAAATTGGTTACAATAAATCCGCATACTTTCAGTTCCTGAAGATCTTGCAATCAGTGAGAAAAACACAAAGACCACTACACTGTTGTAAAGGCACCGTAGCATTTTACTAAGGATCGACCGCCGTGCCAGCAGAACCAATTAAGAAGAACTAAAAGAAAGAAAATAACAATGATTGCGTAAATTTTCTGTAGTCGATCTAACACAATAATGTATAAGATTACAAACATCTTACAATTTAGAATCGTTCTCCTATAACGTAAATCCATAGGGATCCAAACTTCATTAAAACATATTTCCGAAAAGGCTACAGTTGTACTACTAAGAAGGATGGTCTTTAGATTTCACAAAGTTTGGACCTCGATCACTATTTTACTGACCTGATTTATATCACTTCATTCACTTTTCCCTGACTATGAAATCGCTCATAGAAAGTGGTGTAGCGGTAAATAAATCCCCAAAATAAATAGCTCTAAGTTTCGACATTGGATGCTGACCACATTAGTTATAATGGACTCATCTAGCTGAAGGCGCTCGGTCAGGCATTCGCACCAGATCACGTGTGGGAACGCCGTGCTCAACATCTGCCGCAATCGCTAGCCAGATTAGTGCAAACGACCCTCGATATATTGATAGCTTATCAAACATATCTTTGATCCCCTCGCTTCTGTCTTTTGATTTTACTTGGTGGGTGCGCTTCATATTAGAAGATTTTACTGGTTAAAGCGTTGTCAAACTCCGAATACCCTTGGCATCTTCATTGGTGAGCCAGACGTGATCTGGTACACCAAATCGCAAACTGTGAGTCTGTTCCTTTTTGTGATTTTATATATCATTGTCTTATTTTAATTTTTCATACATTGTGATTTTTTTCCGTGCTTTTTGGATATATATTTCCCACCCGTTCATTTTTCGTACTTGATATATTAATATGACTGAACAGACACCTTAGGTATTTAAGTTAGAGACTTTGTCCCCACCTTCCTTCCAACTTATGCCCTTCTGGCCAGACAACATCGAAGCCTGGTTTTGCTACGCAGAAGCCGACTTCTACGAGCACGGTGTAAACGATACGCGTGCACAATTCCTCGCAGTAGTCAAGGCACTACCGCGCGAATTCAACAGGTACGTAACACCTAGTATGTTTACTAGTGATGTTTCTGACCCATACAAAACAGATCGACAAAGGTTAGACCAACTCCTTAACAAAATCGACCTGCAACACGGCTCTGCCACAGACATGTTGCAGAGAATGAGAGAAGTAATTGGCCAAAGAGAGACGGATAATCCTGACTGGTGCTGGTATCATAACCAGAATGGAAAGTCCGCCAGGAATTGCAGAAAACCCTGCAATTTTCCCAACTCAAAATCGATCGACACAAAAGACGATCCGGGAAACTTCCAAGCCGGAACGCGTTAGAGGCAACCATGGCCGGCGAACATAGCCGTCTTTTATATGTCACTGATGTAATAACGAGAGTTCGCTACCTCGTCGATACTGCCGCAGAAGTTGGCGTTCTCCCAGCGAATTCCAACGACCGGCTTCAAGAGTCGGCTTTAAATCTACAGGCGAAAAAGGGAAAGCCTATCGCTACGTATGGCAAAAGGTATGTTTATCTTAACGTGGATTTACGCGAATGTTTCTATGCAAATCATTGATATGGACCTTCTACAGCACCACAACTTAATTATCAATACGCGCAAACGGAGGCTAGTAGATGGAAATACTGATTTATCTGTTTTCCTGTCTTCTTTTTCTGGTTGCAGGTTATCTCCTGTCACTACTAAGCACACTATAGACCCCTTCTACCAGCCAATACTCGATAAGTATTCTGGCATTTACCAATGGCAACCGAAATTGCCGTGTGTAACCAGCAACGTTACACAACACATCACGACTACAGGACCACCTGTATTCTCGAAAGCACGCCGACTGGCCCAAGAGAAGTTAAGGTTGGCGAAAAACGAACTCAACCATATGATAGACTTGGCAATTATACGACCGTCAAATAGCCCATGGGCATCTCCGTTGCACATGGTCCTTAAAAAGGACAGCAACGATTGGCGTTCAACTGGTGACTATCGGCGACTGAATGCAAAAACCATTCCCGATCGTTACCCGTTGCCCCACATTCACGATTTGACAGCTAACTTGAAAGGTACAACTGTCTTTTCGAAAATCGAATTGGTTAACCAAATTCCTATGGCCACTGACGACATTCCAAAAACCGCTATTATAACGCCTTTCGGACTCTATGAATTTTTGAGAATGCCTTTCGATCTGAGAAACGCTGCACAAACCTTCCAAAGGTTCATAGACGACGTTTTTCGGGGTCTCAACTTCGTACATGCGTATGTTGATGACTGCATTATAGCAAGTCCGGACAGAGAATCGCATATCCAGCATCTGGATCTTGTTTTCGACCGACTACAAAAGCATTGCATTACTGTAAACATTCAGAAATACCAAATCGGAACCGACTCCTTAGATTTCTTAGGACACATCGATGCGTAAGGTATCCGACCCCTTAGAACAAAAGTGGCGGCCATTATGGATTACCCGGAACCGACCACCACCAAGCAATTGCGCGCGTTTAACGGTCTGGTAAGTTTTTATAGACGATTCATACCAAAATGTGCGTCCCTTATGAAACCTCTTACCGACCAACTTCGTGGAAATGCGAAATCCATCCATCTGGATGACACCGCGCGAAAAGCATTCTCCACGGTTAAGGAACGTATCACTCAAGCGACCATGCTTGCTCATCAGGACCCTGAAGCGCCCATTAGTATCGCAGTAGACGCATCCGACTCAGCAATCGGAGCAGTCTTACAACAATGGGTTAACCACTCCTGGCAACCTTCGGCATTTTTCTCTAGACGTTTGCTAGACACTGAATCGAGGTACAGCACATTCGTTAGGGAACTCCTAGCTATGTATTGTGCTGTCCGACATTTTCAACACTCCATCGAATTCCGTGAATTCACCATTTTTACCGATCATAAACCTCTTACCTTCTCTTTAAGCTCACCTTCAGGCAAGTACTCACCACGTGAGTCTCGACAACTGGACTACATTTCGCAGTTTACTTCAGATATTCGACACATTTCTGGAGCAAACAATGTAGTTGCAGACGCCTTATCTCGAATAACTTACTTGAACAGTTTCCAAGAAATCAACCTTCTGAAACTCGTCCAGCTTCAAAAAGAAGACACTGATCTTCAGCACAAGTTATCGTCTACAACCCTCAAGCTGCGCATCAAACAGATGGGAACAGGTAAGGAAACCTTAGTTTGTGACACATCTACAGGTAGGGATCGTGCCGAAAAATTATCGACGCAACATCTTCAATACGTTGCACAGACTTTCTCAGCCAGGTGTTCGTGCAAACATCAAGCTTATAGCAGAACGGTCTTGCTGGCCTGGTATGAATAAAGACGTGAGGGAGTGGGCACGCTCCTGTGTAAGCTGCCAGGAATCTAAGGTTATTAGACATAACACATGCCCTCTAGGCTCGTTTAAAACTCCCGACGCTCGCTTCGACCATGTTCATTTGGATTTGGTAGGAACTTTACCAGACCGTTTTACTCGATGGCCAGAAGCAGTACCCATCAAAGACATTACTGCTAAAACATGTGGCCCACTCCTTCGTCAAACGATGGGTAACAAACTTCGGCTGCCCAACAACCATCACTACAGATCGTGGACGTCAGTTTGAATCTGAACTTTTCCGTTGTCTGACCGCGAAACTAGGAATCACTCGCTTCCGAACGACGGCCTACCACCTACAAGCAAACGGGTTGGTAGAACGTTTTCAACGACAACTAAAAGTGTCACTATCAGCCTCAAACATTTCTCAGTGAGCTGACGCTCCTCCACTCGTCTTACTAGGTATTCGCAATGCAGTGAAAGCTGACATTGCATACACTACGTCTCAACTCGTTTATGGAACAACACTTCGACTTCCAGGAGAATTCGTGGATCCTACATCCTCTTCGTTGAACATGGATCTAACCTCCTACGCGAACGGACTTACAAACTCAATGCGTTCAGTTAAACCTGTTTCCACTCGACTACAACCAACTGATGTTTTCGTTCAACCTGACTTACGATATAGTACACACGTCTTCATACATCGAGGCTCGCATCGACGACCTCTCGAATCAGCATACGAAGGACCTTTCAAAGTTCTTCAACGCGAATCTAAGTACTATATAATCGATAAGAACGGAACCAACGAAAGCATCAGCATCGACCGCCTCAAAGCAGCGTATTTAGAAGGAAATCCTATTCACGTCGATTTTCCTTCAATGCAATCGCACGACACAACTCCTGCCCTTATAATACCTCAATCGACAGCCGACACACACGTCGACACTTCGGCGGTATCAGAAAATAAACTTACAACAACGCGTTCTGGAAAAAGAGTAAGATTTCTAGAACATTTGAACGATTATTGCACGTAAGATACAAGCTCTCCTTTTATATAGTCTCGATTTTCCCTTGTACTATATATAATTTTTTAAAAAAAACACGAATTTAATATGCTTATATATTTTTTTTCCAAAAAGAAAACAAGACAAAACAGCGATATTATAAAAGTCCTTTTTTTACGCTATTACGTGAGCACGAGGTTATTTTCTAATTTTTGCTCGCTTTGTGTTTTTACGCGCGTACGAGTGTATTTCGACATGCACTTATATATTTTTTCTTTTCCATGACGGCTGGAAAAGACGATAAAATGAACGATAAAGTTTGCGAGAAACGGAAATCTTCATTGTATCTTTTCTTTTTTTACTATATTATACATCATGGTCCATTATAGTAAGGAAAGACGACCAGACGCTGCTTAACCTAGAAAACTATCAGAAGAGTGTTTACCAACGAAAAACTCGTTGGGTTTAAACTTCTAGCTGGACACGTCTTAGGATCATCACTACCCCACTACGGGAGGAAGTGATCTGTAGCGGTAAATAAATCCCCAAAATAAATAGCTCTAAGTTTCGACATTGGATGCTGACCACATTAGTTATAATGGACTCATCTAGCTGAAGGCGCTCGGTCAGGCATTCGCACCAGATCACGTGTGGGAACGCCGTGCTCAACATCTGCCGCAATCGCTAG